CTGTTGATCAGTGCAGTGTAACAGACGATATTTCTGATAAATTGCATGAGCGTTAAAATTGTTTCCATTGCCGGCATTGGTGTTTTCAACCGATGTGCATTTTGTACGATATTGCAGACCTTGGTCTTGTTTTCGTTGTAATAAAAGTGTTTTTTATTTTATTTGTAATTTTGCACATAAAGTTACAATGACATTATCAAATCTCACAATGCCCAGCGATATTTCAGCAGCCGTCATGTTTATTTACATTGGATATTGTAGTTCCGGTCAGTGTTGTAATTAATACGCTAAGAATTGTGTCTCGTGCGGCATGGTAATTATGGCTCGTGCGGCATGGTAATTAAAGTCCCATCAACGACACAGCTCTCAAAGAGGCTATATAGTGACAATGCCATGCAAATGTAAATATAATATTATAGACATCAGACTTTTAAAGGACATGCAGAATGGAACCTTCTTTAAGAAATGTCGGAATAGATCTTATGTATGGCATGAGTCTATTGGAATCAACCGTGGCATGAAAGCTATGATACATTCACAAGCTTTCACTGTTTCAAATGCAATGTCAAATCAATATGTATAACTGTGACTTTAAGCAAAGCATGGCCGAAATTATTTTTCCGAAGATTAAGCCTTACTTTAAAGGGAAGCAATGTAAAGAAACCCAACCTAAACCCCACTTACGTCGACGCCTGTAGCATAAACACACAATCACATGCTTTAATTCAAATCAGTAGGCGTTATGAAATATCATAAAAACTTATACATATTCATGCTGAGAAATATTTACGGTGAGGTAGAGTTACTCCACAATACAGACTGATAATAGGTTGGCGAGATGTTGAGTAATTCCACAATGTATATTATTATTAGGTTGTCAGGAACAGTTTCCCGTTCACAGTGCAGTTGGTATTAGTTAACGATACACTTACCTTGTCCTTTCCTTTGTCTTTGGCGCCAGGAAGCAGATCGTCGATATAACGTAGTTCGTTCTGTGTATAGACACATTCTAACAGCTTGCGGACCACGCCCGTCGCCAGTACCTACACACAAGGAACGTTAAATGTTACTTTAGACAAAACCTACAAACAAGGAACATTTAAGAAATGATTATCGTACGCTGAAATGTTATACAAAGAGCTAATAATGTTATAGTCAGACAACAACTTGGTTTTTGATATAATATAGTCTTAAAGGTTATCAGTATAATAATTAAGGTCACAAACAGGATTGGTAAACAGCAGATGTTGCAAAATGTCTTAACAGAATTTTGTAGAAATAAGGGGAGAGAGGAACAAAAATAAATTTCAAACTGATGAAATTGATGCAAGAGACCTGATTTAATCTAAGAAAATTTCCGATTCTTTAGGAGTTCCAATTCTCGTCTAGTATCACATGATTACCTGTCCTCAGTTCGATACTCTGTTCATCGCATTTCGAGAAAAAACATTTTATAGATATAATTGTCACGATATCAAATAAAATAAGCATTTGTTGACACAGTTGTAAGGAAACCGTATTTTTGTTTGTCTCCGGAGAAGTTGAAAATATGCTTTATCGGAACACCTGAACAATTTCTGCTTCTATATATCTTAATTTACTACAGATGTGTAGAACACTCACCAAGAGGGGGAATCCTATGGAGATTTCCTTGATGGTCTTTACGATCCACAGAATGACCAGACACAGGATTTGGATGATGGTGAACATGTGGATCCTCCACAGGGGCACGTGACGGATGTACGGGAGGTCGGGTTGGTACTTAACGGGCTGGAAGAACAGGAACAGTCGGTCCACGAACTGAAAAGGGAACGAAAAAAATTGTGGTTAGCATAAAAACGCTTGCACTATATATCAACATTACAATATATCCGAAACGACCGCACGCTAAAAGACTTATATACAGTCATTAATGTTGTACAGCTGCAAAACCGTTGTTAGACATGAGTGTTGTCGCGTTGAAAACACATTTCATTCGATCAATGAAGAATGCTATTCTTTGTAATGTAGAAAAGCAGAATTTGTATCAATGACTCTCCAATCAGACCTTTTAAGTCAAATGAGTTACAAGTTTTTCTACAGAATTATTAGTAATAAGTTTCTATATAACGGTTTAATTGACCTCTAGATTCACACATATGCCAAATTAGGTCTTCCCTCCTTTGTACTTTTTCCTCATATTATTATTATTTTTAATTTAATTTTTAAATATTTAATGCGTTGTATATTCTTCTTCGCTTTGCGTGGGTATGTTACCTGCATGCCTCGGAGAGCGGAGAATCCCATGTACAGGAAGACACCATACAACACCGGCATCGGAATCATCTGTAAGGAGATAATGTATCGTCACGTCACGGTGCAAACAGTGACAAGTTACTCCAGGTATATATATACATGACTATCACATATATGCACACCGTATCCCGAGCGATTTATTCCAGCAATGTTAATCCGGTCATATAGTTGTATTCATTTGCTAAATAGAGAATAATACATGCCTTTTTCCATATCACACTCAATATCAACCCGAGACTGCAATATCAGCCCAAGGGCCGAAGGCCCGAACGCTGACATTGGTCGAGGGAACAAACTTACTAAGAAAAGCTACTATCTATTTTTCTTTTGAAATATTGAAAAATGAAAACATTTCAAAAGTGGTGAAATACGGGTTTTGCGGGCTAATACGGAGAGGGCTGACATGGGTTTTGGGGTGTGATACGGCGGGGGCTGATATGGGTTTTGGGGTGTGATACGGCGAGGGCTGATATGGGCTAGAGCAATTGTGTCGTATAGCATATACAAAAAACCCGTATTTATTATTAAGTATGTAATAAATGTTAAAAAGCAATGGAAGTTTAAGAAAAATGCATTTTCAAATAGACCGCAACATCCTGGAGGAAATGAAACTTCCTCATCCGCTCAATAATTAAAACCAAAATATTATATACATTTATAAAACAAAATAAGGAGTTTAAACACAGAATCACTCTTGAATAATTGTTCACGCAGGTTGGTTTACATGGTGTTCGTCATAAGACACATCTAAACGTCACTATATTGACATTAACGTCCTAGTAATGGAGAAATAATTATAGCCTACCTTGAGGACGGGGGTGATGAGGACGGCCAGACCACTGAGGATGCCAATAAACAGTGCGGTCATTCTCTGCTCCCTAAAACACAAAACATTCATTAGTAAAATATCGGAGATAAGGTCAGGCCCCATATTCACGTTCTCATACTTAAGTATGGATTATTTGCTCAAACCAACTTTCTTGTAACTCACTTAAATCATGAAAAACGATCATAAAAAAAATCAGAACATTGAAAACAGTATTCGGTTATAAGTCAAAATGAAATTTTATTATTAAGTTATAACCGAAACAAGAAATTAGACTTGAACATTAAATCCATGCTTGAGTATGAGAACGGTTTCATGAATACGGGCCCAGATGTTAGCATATCTATAAACAGGAACAAGACATTCCAGACAATTTGTTTGGTATATCTGGTACAGGGTCACCTGGATATCCCTGTAGTCATTGCTTCACTAGGTTTACGTATACGTATACTCTAGATATACACACTGTTTCATGACACAGCATTTTGATGTCACACTCAAGAAATGGTGAAAATTCGAACCAGAACTATCGACAGCGCAAATACTGTTTACCCATGATGACGTTGCTTACCTGATGCCAAGGAACGTTGGTTTCTCTCCCGGGGCGGTACATTCGGACTCCTTCTTGAGACTGTTGATGTGGGCGAGGGCGGAGACGGTGGCGGCCACATACCAGGGCAAACCAAGTACAGAGTGGATTGCCACAACTATGGCCACAATGAACATGTCAAGATGGTAACCAACACCCTTCTGTAAAGTGAAGTTGAGTCCATATTATAAAACTTGTCCTGTCGCAACATCTTGAGCTAAAGTATACCATGCTCTTTAATTTGTAAAAATGCCGATTATATTCTGTGTTTGAGAACTGAGCTTAATTGGTGAGGCACAAACCATTTTGAAGGTATCACAATAAAAGGATTATATTTTCACAAAGAGAAGGAAATAAGTAAACGTTAAACGTATGCACCGTATAAATTGTTCTGAATCAAAGTAACATACTACTCATGGATAGAGTCAATCATTATGTAGGTGTATTGAATATGGCTATTCCATCCGAGGGAGTAGGATTTGGGTCAGAACTGTGGCTTTGCCGAGGTTTTGACACCACATTGAGCATCCGCGGGAAGATTATCTTATCCAAAATACCTACATAATGATTGACTACTTTCTCCAAAACCTTAACCGACATTTATATTAAAAAGGTCATATACCATGCAAATGCAACACTCAGTATAGCAAAAGTTCTATAAACGTATACACAATCTAAGGCCATATTTGGAAAAGTAGAAAAAACACAGTACACCTTAGATATATCTCAAACTTAAATATCCATTCAAGATCTTCAGGGCAAGCAGTTTTTTCATGTATGTTCTTGTGGTGATATCACTTGCCGATGTCAAGATTGGCAAAGTCAGTGAAACAACGTTTTGACGCGTTTTCTATTGTGATGTCATAATGAAACGCCATTGTCTGATTGGGATGTCATACCTTCAGCTTGTTCTCTTTCCTGTTGACGATGACAGCGGTGATCTGCTGGTCGAGGAAGATGAGGATAGTGGAGAGGATAGCGGGGACGACCGTGGCGATGTACAGCCACCAGGGGTTGCTCTCGCTGAAGGGGTTCACCACCCAGCCACGTCCGGGTTTGGTCGGCTTTTAAACATACACACAAACCACACTTAGTCAGATATTCTATCACTACAAGGGTTGCCAACAAAATAATGCCCGGGGTAAGTTAGTTAACAAACAGACACTATAAACAGTAAATATTGTGTTTATCACTACAAGGTACCCCCGTACAACACTAGTCTTATATAAATCAACATTTTATACCAGTACTCAGTAATTAGGATTTTCTGTAAACCTTTGCCGTTATCTTCTTGAATAGGCAACGACCTCCTTACCTGTACACTGTCTACTTATTGCCCCTATAATACACATTGTTTTTAGCAGACACGCTCGGTTATATGATTAGCAAAGGGAGGCTATGTAGAGAGACGAATAGTTACCTTAAACTCGTCCGGGACGGTCAGTTTTGGTGTGTCGATACCGACCACGTAGTCCAGGACTACCATAGATATAATGGCGATCAATACGGCAAAGTCACTGATCCTCTGGCGGACCTATATCATACAGGGAAAGCACATTCAACTTCTCATTAAGATATCATTAATACACGTAATAGTAAAACTTCATATATATTTCTTTATCTCACGTTACTATATATTATGTAAATGGAAAAAAAAATGAAATCGAAAATTTTATCTATAGATTGGTTTATGAAACTGCATTGAGCTGAGTCCATCAGAACTTTACGAAATAAATGTCATTTCATTTCCACACCAACTTACCACAGCCGGGAAAAGCGTACTACTCTTAAACTCTACAAGGGCGACCGCACAGGTAAAGGTACCGATGAAGAGGAGGATAGAGAAGAGGAAAACATCGGCGACGTAGTGAGGTGGGTTACATCCGGGTCCTACTGGAGTGCCGCCATACGACTCACACGCTACGATGGTCAGAGTTCCCCACATAGAGTCAGTAAAATTTGCCACGTCATCGCAGGAGTATCCCATAGTTGTTGTCGTCATGTTCATTGCTGTCATATTTGTGTCGAAGTACCCGGTACAGTTGCGCGGAATACATGTGCAGTCAGTCGGAAGCGGGTCATGGGGACTCAAATTTATCGGACTGTCTTTTCCGATCTCTGCCACCTTTTTGAAAGCCTCCACTATGAAAATGATCGCTATAAGAGTAGCGAAACTGTCTTCAGTGAACCGAGTTATGTATTTGACCCATGCACTGAGGTTAAAGGTCACTATCACCATAATGATAAACACTGTCCACATTCCTACCCAGAACCGCACTGGCATAAACTCCCAGTCGTTGTCCCTGTCAATGCAATCACGTGATGAGGCACACTTATATTAAATGTATGGACTTGCGTCAGCATGAGGCAAAAGGTCAGATGGACAAAAGTATTAACATACCGACAAAGATTAATTGTCGATCATTTGTCAATGTTTTTGTCAATGTATTCTTATAATAAACAGTATGAAAATGTACTACGGCATCAATAGATAATAACATGACATTAAAAGCTTAATATTAAGCATGGGCATGGGTATTCTAACTACTGTTGCATTGCCAAAGACATAACGTCGTATTTCATTGAAACATCAAAGTAAAAACTAATCATTTCTGACATAAATGCAAAGTACAGTAAGGACATAAGTAAAATCTGTAATCTCGTCTTAACATTTACAATGACAAACAATGCAAATATATTACATATCACTATCAGTGACGTAGAAAAAAAGGACACAAATGTACGCAATTATATGTGGCGTAATCGAAGCACGTTATCCAGGACTTACTGAAATAAGTATATGTGACGTACAACACAAATATCAAATATAGCAAATGCATTTACTAACACACATATATCAGTGACGTACACCACACACAACATAATACAGTAAAGGTAAAGTACGTACTTGCAGAGATTGTAGATAATGGACTCTAGTACCAACATAGGGCCGGTACTGCCGAGGATGTTTAGAGGTTGACCTCCAAATAGGGCGAACAGTATTCCCGTCACAGCAGCGGCGAATATACACTCCATCACACCCTTATAGTAGTAACATATTATATATATTAAACTTAAGCCAGACATAATCATCAATAAATAGCTTATCAGATTTATCGTTTTTTTTTTTATTTCAAATTGAAATAATCAGGAACAACGCCTACAGCAACTTGAAATATGATCAGACCCGAACAACTCAATTTGATCCAAAATTTGTTTAATTTGTTTTATTTAACTTGATGAATCGCATACTAAAATTTGAAGACATCCAGAAGTAAAGACTGGAATAACACAACTCGACACATAATGCTGTGTAGTTCACTTCGGTGATCGTTTAATCAAACCTGTACACTTAGTATATATAAAACGGTTTTTACGCAATAACTGCCCAACAAAACGTAACAGGCCATACCTCGTTTTTATATGCTAACTTAGTAATCCCAGAACAACAATAAATTTGGTTAAAATATCTTCGTCTACAATTAGCAAAATCATATGTACGTCGTCTGGAATGAACGCACTGGAAGAATTGTTCACTGGTGCAATTTTCAAGTAGATTATAGAGAGGTACATTTATAAGTAGAAAACAAACATTTCTTTAAACATAAGACCTAAATTGTTGTGTCAGGAGTCGAACTAGAATATCAAGGCGACTGTTTAAAAAGAACCGGTTGTTAAATGTTGGTTTGTACACAATAAGTAATCGTATCTTTTGATAACGTAGGTTCTAAATTTCTTCACGAAGTTGTGAATATAAAGGTGGCAATTGACAATTAACATCAGATGATACTAAACATATAAGCGAGATTAGATCTGGTTGCTGTGTAAGGATGATACGTACCATGTATTGGTCAGTGGCCTCACCAAGGAGACCTCCAAATGTGACATTGGGAGTGAGGGTTCCCAGGAACACGTATACAAAGGAGGCGAGACACTGGATGTGGATCGCGTCTTTGTAATCGCTCCAGTACCAAGGAATCTTCCTCATGATGTCGTCCCTCAAACCCTTAAACGGTCTGCATTACAAAGAAAAACGTAAATAAACAGACGCTTTCCACAGTGTTACTATCGCTTAGTCTACGAGTAAAGAAAATTGTCATTGATACAAAAAAGGGTCTGCAATGGAACGCGGTTGCAAACTGTCAGCAAAAAATACGAAAGCTCAGAACTTGTTCGATACTAAATAACCAGTCTGTGCGGGTCTGCAATACAACGAAACACTCAGCACCTGAACCCTAGAACTCTTGAACAGGACGTAACAAAATGCAAAACTTGACGGTTAAGGACGCTTAGTTACTATTTCGTGAAACCTTAAAATATATGTATTCGAACTATCATCTATGTCACAAAGGGTAGCCATACATGAGACGGTCTGCCAGGTAAGTTGAAGTAAAACAAAATACTCTGCCTCAAAGGTTGTGTCCACAAAGCTTACATTTTGGACAGTTCAAGTGCAGGGTCATCATGGCCGCCATGGTCATCCTCTGATGACACGCTTTTCTGATCGACGACACCACTCAACACATTGTGGACAGAGGCTCGCCGGAACTCCTGTAGATTAAGAAATGATTATTGTATAAAGAGAGAAAATACCCGTGATGGACCAATAATTGAAAACAGGCGCTGTACACGTGATGCACCGTGATATCAGTATTTAGAATACTAACCTGTGACTGGACCTTGTTGGGCGGTTCAATCCTAATCTTCGGATCCCACTCGCCAGGTGGCAGCACTGTGACTTGGTTCATGAACTCGTCGATCCCGGCCTTGAAGTCTTCGTCATTGCGACTCTTGTAGGCGACCTCTCGGAAAATCTATAACCAATCACCAACAGATAAGTACAAATGTTAGAGAAGATATGGAGGAAAATAGGAATCAACAGGAAATGTCTAAAACCACATTTTACTTTTAGATAATATTCGTTGAATCGTTTTTGCTTTTAAATGAGGTTTTATTGTACAAATGAAATGATAGAAATGTATCAAGGGCCGAACCTTTGTCAAATGTCACTATTCTTATTTTTAAATTGCTGTTGGCGATACGTTTATTAAGACTTTGACACTAAAATAGATAGACTTACGTCGTCAACAAGCATAGTGGAGATACAACGGCCTATCTCCATACAGTCCATCTCGCTACCCTTTGGTCCGAGGCAGAAGAACAAGAAACGGACTGGTTTAGCAATCTCACACAGATCCCCAAGGAGTCGTGGCTCTTTGAGTCGCACAAAGGCCACTATTCTCTCCTCCAGGTCATCAATCTCACCGACCATAACGCTTGCAACCTCTGCGTCCTTAGGAATTTTGCGCATGAAGTTGGTGTTTGGCTGGCAAGAAGTAATTAGGAAATCGTTAATTTTCAGGAAATGTACTCATTCTTTGTTAATCACGCCATATCCATTAAAACACATTTTGTTCCAATGAATTATCATGACTAAGTGAAAATAATACAAGAAAGGGAAACCGTCTTGTTACAGCTAAGCTGGTCATGTGACTGCATGTACCTCCATTTAGTGACCACCTGTTTTAAGAGTGCTAATTGAACCTATATTGGGAGACCACCTTCATTAGGAGACTACGTTTTGTACTTCTCAACAGTGGTTTCTTCATTTCTATTGGTCTATTAGTTATAATATCAAATTCTTACTTCCAGACGCAGTGTTTCGTTTCAAATAGTACCGCCAGTGTTCTTTATACCTTATAGTAGGATGAGGTTGCGTTATCGCCGTCGTTTGGGATGTCAGTGGCGCTGTTTGAGGTAGGAATTCCACTGACACTATCTATACTGGCGAAACTTGCTCCGCTATTCAGATAGGCAGCACTGCCTCCGTATTCTGTAATGGAGCAGCATTGGTCATTACGGTCAACCAAACAGAGCAGATTTCAAAATTAATGTTACTCGTGAGTCCTAAATATACGAAATCGCCTATGGTAGAGTAAAAAGGTCATATTTTCTTGATTGACTAACACATGCATAAAAAGGTATTTCCCTACTTTGGATTTCTATCGATTATAATGCAGCTTATGATGAGTTCCAGCGTGCACTATTTGAAGGACGGAAATGAAAAGCAATTAATGAAGTTCGTACCTGGATCGTCGGCTATATCCCCCAGATTTTTGGCTACAGAACGACTGTTCTTCGGCCGCTTCGTGTGGCGATGGATGTGTTCTTTCAAGGAGACATTTCTGACATGAACTCGCATCTTACTGTCCAGATGTCCAGCATCGATCCAGCAGTCAAGGACATTATCTGTTACGAGTAAAACAATATGCTTACATTCAAACTTTATTTATTTTAACATTGAAACAAACCTTTCAAACTGATATAGCTATCACTCTTGTCAACCCTGCTGGAAGCGCGCAGACTGTCTTATTGCGAGATGGAGCCGGATGGCCACTTTACCCTCCTCCACTCTCTTTTTTCATCTGAATACAATTGTATTTCATTTGTGAATCGATCTGTGTGTCTGTTTTATGTCTGTCCATGTCTGTCTGTCTGTCTGTCTGTCCATGTCTGTCTGTCTGTCCGACGTTATGAGTGTTGATTGCTTGTCTGTTTCTTTGTTTTTCACATTCTAACTAGCCATCTTTCATTGTATATATATAACATTGTTTTGTATGGGGAAATGGCGTCGATAATGTTCATGTAACGTGTACCATATCCGCTTTGCTGTATGTATACTAATGGCAATATTATATGTTTAAATTAAAAAAAACCCGGATGACCCGGAGAAAAGTCTACGTTGTCGTTCAGCTCAGCTTCTTGATGACAGGCGAGTGCGCTATCCACTGCGCCACCCAACCACCCTTTAGAAAATGTAATGTAAACATTACCCTCAATTCAAACAATCTATACCCCTTTTTCGTTTCTATATGATGTGTAAGTTGCGTCGTATCTTCATTCCCGTTATGAGAGCCAGAAACAGCGACCTACCCACGACTTCTGCTATGCTGTAGGAGTCGAGATCCAGAATAACAGCTCCCTCTGCTATAGCTCCCCTGAGGTCAAACAGGGATTTCATCGAAAGCGAGGCTACGTGGGGCTTGGACCAACGTTTGCCGCCCTCTTCAACATTCTCTTCGTATTTAACCCATCTGCAATGTTGAACGAATTGTACTTGTCACCAATTCAAAGCGCCTGACACTGAGTCAAATACAGAAGAAATGTTTAAGAAATGAAAAGGGATTGGGAGTAAAAGTATACCTTGCTGCTTCTCGCCATTCGTAATCATCATTGTACTTTCGGAGTACATCTAATTCACTGAAAATGCTGTGCGTCTTATGTGCATCGTCCTTGACCGTATTCAACAAGTTTTGAATCCAATCTGTAGGATCGTAGTCTTCTTTAGAGTTATCTGCAGCTGTAATAAAACGCAGATAGACCTGTTACGTTGAATCAACCACAACCCTTCTTTCACAAAGATAATTAACAAATGCAAGAGACAAAGCATTCTTTGTTGTGTATCACGGGTTCATCTTGTTCATAATAAAGTGGCCCGATAAAGTGACATGTTATCGTATCCAAACTATGATATTTCAATTAGATGACATTACATAGGATATGTTATAAGTAGCCCTGTAACTATTAGACACAGCCAATATGTAGTGTTAAGTAGTGCAAAGATGTGACCTCAACCATGCAGACAAATAAACAAACAAACATCCATGTGTGTACAAAGCGAAGTGACATTATAAAGATGAGCAGAAAAAATGGACAATATGCTGACATGACAAGTTAAAACTTCCTCACTTAAGCTTTCATTTTATTTACGGTATGTTTAATACATGTCTGTAGATCTACTGCTTTCATGTATTGGTGTAAGGGTTAACACTTTGCGCATTGCATAACATCAATACATCAGTTATTTAATTTTTAACGGTGATGAGAATCTCAGTGCTACCTACGTAGGAGGGCTGTCGGGACTTTGATGTCGAGCGTCAAAGAAACCATTTGCCCTCTTCTGGGTCACGTGAGTCAACACGACGGCTACCGTGAGGGGTGTGTTCGGTTGTCGAGCACTCGACATATTCCATTAACGCGGGTTTATGTTGACAACCTGACTATGTGTTTATCACCAATGTCTGGACTGATGACCACATAACATAATAGGTATCAAATAGAAAAGGTCCAATTAAGTTTGATGTAATATCTAAAACAAAAGTCTTTATCTTGGGTATAGATATCGGATTTTAGAACAAAGGTGTTTTATTACCATGTGACTTAACCTACACATATCTAATCTTTCAAGGACAAAATCCCCAGTCCTTAAAATCAAAGGTCAAACAATCCACTTGAAGTTTTGAATGCAATAAAATTGGTTGAAGTTTAATTGAAAAGTATGAAGGTCAAACGAGTCCGGAGCAATGTAAAGCGAATGCACTGACAGTCTACATGAGAAAGAACTAGTAACGACGTGCATGACCGCATTCGGCGAACAATGCAGAGGAGGAGGTTGCACTGATTCTAATTATTTTAAACAATATTTTATTCAATAATTAACAATGTTACAAATACAAATATAAATACGGGATGGGAAAACAAGCTTGGAGCTTATAATAATTCCTTTTCCAAAATTCTAATTGTTCTACCCTTCATAGGTTTTATACTTCTGTGGTTTCCTTTCCAAATTCCCAGTTTACCCCTATTCTACCGTATAACCTCGTATGACCTTGCTTAGTGTTTGGCTCGGTTAACATACAATGATTGTACTCTTCATTACTCGTTATTGATACAGTGAAATAGAAAAAAAACGAGAACCAATTTCACGCAATTCAGTATAAGAACAAAAGAGAATTATTATTTGCCTCTTACAGTACGTGTAATAGAAGCAGCAAAAGGAAACCAACCTTCAGAGAGGCTGGATTAAGTAAGTTTCTTATTATGAAACAGTGGGTGCAGCAGGATAATTCATCAGTTTGCGGACACACCGTGTCCTGAACATGCGTGAGACTAGCACGTTGAGGCGACAGATTTACGCTTTACAGCGTCATTATTGATATCTTTATCCGGTAGCTCACTATTCGAATACATGTAAATTTGTCGAAAGCTATATTTATGTTTTGTTTTAAACATCCTATTATTTGTGTTTCTGAAATCTATAGCCGAAAACAAACATTTTGCTGTTTGAACAAATGAAATAGATAAGCGCACAAAAACGACTCTTTGGGCTGCTGTAGTAGTCATGGTAACCATGCAACATTGAGAGGTTCATGACGTGAGTGGGAGCAGCTAGGGTAGTATATCAACCCTTTATTATATTTCTGAATCTATACGTCATCTAAATGTTAAAGGTTCCACAGACTTGATAAAGGGATTATGTACTTACCCTCATCTGTATCAATATGTGGCCTGTCTGGGCGATTGGGCATGCGCACTTGAATATAAGTGCTCCCCCTCCGTCCTGAAGAAATATATCAATACACAGACTATTTAAAAATATTTGTGGTTTTTGTATAAAAGATACTAAATGGTATTAATGGATAGGACAAATCGACAATTAAACGTTTCTCCCAACAGGGTTTAACATAACGGGAATGTAACAACAGGTAAAAATAAGACATACACATCTGACTGTCATATTGAAATGCTGCCAAAAGTGTGCCCCGACAGAACAGCGAGTGCTATCGGTATCCAGATGGTAGTGATTCAATGTGAATATCTACTGAGACGCAAATACCATAGTACCAAAAGATCTTCAGTAAAGTCCTATTTCGACATTTGAATAATGTTTTAAATATGTTTTATCGTTTAAATAAACACAAATAAATTATTACACAAACAATACATATCTCTGTTTAATATAGTCCACCTGCTTGGACAGTATCTCCTGACAATAATAATGTCGTGGTACTGTTCGTGGTACTGTACCATATACTCTATGATCCACTGGGTATGTGCAGGATGTTATCTTTGCGACTCCATCATTTCCAACGATTAACATAACACCCTAATATTTTTAAACAACTCGTTTGTTTGAAATAATTCACAGCACACTGCAAAAGTTAAAATAGAACATAATACAAGCTAACAACTATGGAATACATCACAAGTGAAATAGAAAAAAATCAGAAGATAAATAGGACACTATACCAGTTAATTAAAATGTAACAATGCACAAGTTAACACTACACCTGCTGATTAAAGAAAAACACAACAAGAAATAAAATAAAACACCACACAAGTAATTACAAAAAAGAAAGAAAACACTTCAAAAGTTCATCAAAATAGCACACAACACATTGTAAGTAAAATAAAACACAAGTGCATTGAAGTATATAACGAAACACGTTAACTGATATAAAAGTTAATTGAAAAAGATCGCAACATAAATTAATTAATACACAAGTTAAAAAAAAGACTTATCAAGTAATAAAAAACCTCTGCATTTGTTAAAAAATCTCCACACATCATTATATGAGTTTATTTCAGTGCATGCTAATCCTAGCTATAACAATGAAGTGACGTCATTAGATCAATATGAGTAATACAGGAGTTAGGATATTACACTTAGCAAAACATTTTTGTATACATAACATTCCTTGTTATTCTGGACGATTATAACTTCGATAAAAGCGAAAATAAATTGAGATAACATATTGTATCGGGAGTGAGTAGAACTAATACTGGAAGTAAAATGTCAATACGATTGTTGTCTCGTCACCGGTTTTAATAGTCAATATTCTCTCACTACCGCATAGTGCAGTTTGGAATTATAAACAGGATATGACGTCCCGTAGCAACAACCTGGATGTGAATCGGCGTTGGATGTGTTATCATTACAGATAGTTTGTATACTGTTTAAAGATTTGAGAGTTACAACAAATGTGAGTAGACCGCTCTTTGATCATTTAAAGAAGAATTATATCAAAATAGTTTCAAGAACCAGTGTGCTAAATACAAAACAGAAAATTGTCTACAGCTTTAAGTTTACCGGATGCAATATGGAAAATGCACATTTAAACATGGTAACTGGCTTACGAAATAGGAATATTCTGTTAATGTACACCTAGATTTCTCAATGCAGTTATCAAACGTGCTATAACGTCCATTGTAAAGTGTTTGTGAATCGCTTGATGTAATAACGATTTGACGCATACAGTATCAATACGTTTACAATAAAACGTTGTTGATATATAAATACTGAACTCCTTAGACAGTGCATAATGTCGACCAACGGTATTTCTTTTGTATGCGGCGAAGCTACGCAAGCAACAATAAGCAATTCAAACTTCAAAGCAACAGTGAAATATTCAAACTTAAACAACAAATAAGTGTTTAAATTCCTCGCAATGCGAATGAAATATGAAACGAACAGAAAAACGAACAATGTGAGGATTACAGTCTGTTCACATAATGTATGAAAATACGAATAGCATTTGATAAAATCGCCTAGGTCGAAAACACACAATAAATGAAATATGAATAAAATTCTGATAAACATAGATATTAACTTCACGTTACACACATATTCTGATATAACTGCATGAGGGTGTAAGGTGAGCATTATATTTTTATTCAATTCTGAATTATACTTTTATAAGATTATAATAAGGTTATATTTGTTATGAATTAAGTATAATTAAAGTATGATTTAGAAGAATTTAACATGATATAAGCCAACTTGGAGTGTAATGGAAAATAGATATACAAAAAGAATACTAAACAAAAACTAAATTAAAAATCAAACTCGACGAACATAGAGAAAATATGATCTAAACAATGAGTTATACGCATAATGTAAATTTAGATCCAATCCAAGTAATGCCCCTTTCTCAAAACGAGAACCATGGCGGTGTCTCCAAGGGAACATAGGTGAGAATAATATGAAAAGTCCATATTCGTATCGCACAATACAATGACATATTTCCTATAATGATGTCATGATTCTGACCAAAAGATTTTCCCATAGCATTCATCAAATAAGTATACCCGTCAGCAAATCGACATCAATCACGGAAATAATGAAATTCAGAGAAAGGCCTTGAATCTGTATACATTAGGGGAATACTGGTGGAGAAACTTGGGTGTTACTATCAAGAAAATGGATGTTCACGGAAGGAGAATCGAAATAGTGAGACCTCTCATACAGCTTACTAGAAAGCTATTCCTGTTGATGAGGTTGCAAGTAAATATTTGCTGTAAGCTGATGATACAAAAGTGTATGGAGTGTCCTTAATATCAAGTCCAGGGGGGTTTATATGATGGCCGCGGTCAATAAGTGTGATTTAAAGTCATAACAAATTGGCCAAGACATTGTCACAGCAAGTTCCTATGGAAATGCCGACGGGTTACTGGAACTTCCCATCAAATTCAACATTGACTTTGCTTACCAGGTATTCAAACATTATCAAAACCACTGTAACTATTGATTTATATGAGTTAGGTATGTTTTTATCATGATGTAATCAAATGAATAAATATATAAACGAATCTCCCAATTGTGGAATATATAGAAATATCTTTCGAATTTAGAAAGGTAATCATATATAGTACCACGCACGTTTAAACACATCTGGGGATGGTTAAGTGTATGAAAAAAATACGATTCTATCATAAGATTTCCTCCGGAGTCTTTTTAACCATAATGATCAAATCTTATTTCAAAATTCTTTGGCATATTTTCTAACCATTCAAATTCACCATATACAATCCCATTACTAAGAAATGTCCTGGATCTTAACTCACCGTAGTGAAACTATATCATCGTTGTACATATGTACATATATGTACGAGGAATATTGCACTGGTTGATCATTGTTTTTGTGGATTATCCTGACAGAATGACACAGGACGACATCTACCTGTTTACACGAGTTATACTTAAACATAGGTTAACCAGGTGCAGCTATATCAATAACGAAAGTACTGTTATCGGTAATGACGGATTACTGTCAACGAAATTATATATAAAAAAGTTTATTATTGTTGATAAATTTACGTATTACTGAGCCAGGTTCTCTCATTGATGATACACTTGTTCCGTTACACTAATGTTGGTTGGTGATAGTTTTGTTTTCCGTAATGTGCACGCTCCAGACCAGTTTTTTAACAGGACATGTTCATTTCTTGCCAATGTTTTAATGCTTGTTCAAACCTACTAGCATTCCATTAAACATTAAACTACAGAGGTGTTTAGCATATGTTAAGTTACCGGTAGACATTTACACTAGAGTGGTAAAACTACTATAACACTACATTCATATCACCAAAAATGAGGATAATTTATGTTGCTTGGCACTTAAATATGGCAATGGTCATACAGGAATTTTTGTACATAAAACGTGTTAAATAGATATGGAGAAAATGCAATTACATCTCCAGTACTGCGCATTGCATGGGCAGTCTTTTTATGAAATACATTTGCATACACCAACGTCAGTAATCGGTTTATTTATCGCGTTAAGATTTATGTACAATATGCGTCCATCGACTTAAAGATCTGAAACTGGCGGTTACATACGTGTTATTGATCCGATAATGACTGTTTATGGGAGATCAATCTTATTTTATTAATTGATGATGATAAAAGCATATGTTGCCAAACAAGGCTATGAGTTTTCTCTGGTCCGTTGACCTTTGTACATATTGTACTAGACAGCAGATCTTCGATTTAATCTTTTAAGTTTTCTTTAAAGACAAAATGTACACTATATCTGATATACAAGGATTGCTTATTACAAAATGAAGTTAGAAAACAACGTACCTCTATCGTGTCCGCTCCCGTTTTCCATAGTTTTCTGGGCAATCTTCTTAGCAGCTGTTCTATCTGCAAGAGACAAAACGAAATATAATTATGAGAATTTTTCAAATCTGTCAATCGCCAGAATTATTTTTTTTACGTCTTTCATATACTTACAAGGCATTTTGAATAATTAATTGGAACAGTCTTAAAGTTGTTGGTTTGTATCCTCGGTGTTCGTCTTGTGTAAGTTTCCGTTCACGAGCAATGTATTAGTCAGTAAGACTATAGACCAGCATTACACATCCACCCGACTCGCTCCAGAGTATGATGTTGACAACCTGTCTGCACTATGATTGATCATCATTCGAACCATCAACTATCCGTAATGTTTGACCAATACGTCCTGTCAGTGACAGTGGTCAGCGCACCTAAATGATGTACCTATATGTTACGTGCACTTGTTTACACTCCTATATGTACCCGTGGTGTATCGGAAACACCCACGTTGTGGTGACCTTTTAAGGACAAACCAATCGGTCAACCTGTTTCTCCTGTCTCCGATCAAACGACCTTTTATTGCACTTGTGTCAGGTGCGTGAATCTTGTAGAGATTGTGTGACCTGAATAATAATTTATGGAGGCGCTGTCGACGTTACAAGGTGAGGCTATATATTAATTTGTTATACAAACCAGCGATATTAACACGTTGACTTTTGTTAGTTTCTATGTTTTAACTCTTTCTTCATAAAATAATGTATAGACAAAAAATTATATAAAATTTCGACACAAACTATTAAGTAAATATTTAGGGTTTTGACGAAACAAATACGGAGTCTCGGGTCGAGAGCCTCTCCTTGTGAATCCCTTGAAGCTAACACATGCAGGATTAGAACATTATTACTGTTACGTCACATACAAATGTATAGGGCAGTAAGCAGTGATGTATGAACTGTTACAAGACCGACAACTATATCTACACCAGCGACACTCGCGTATTGCAGATCTACTTTGCATGATAAAATCACGCGGATCTCGAAACTATCTGAACTTACTCCGTTAATTCGCTTTTAATAACATAGACATTTTGCCAGGGGATTTAACAAAAAACGAAAATCACCATTTATTTCCATCTCTCCCACAGATGATATCGATTTGATACCGTAGGAGACAACTTACCTGCACTAGTGGTATATGGCGATGATTTACATGACTATTTTATACTGCTTTAAGTCCGTGTACATGCACATGTTCATGTGACATTCAATGCGATTATTACATGGATCTTATTGAATTTTGATATATTTTTTTAAAAAATGAAACCCCCACTGCCATTAGTTGCCCTGCTACAGTAAGCAAGCTATTTTGATGTACGAATTTGTGTGTAATTCTCAGACACACAGTTCGATTTTTCATTATTTCCCAACATCTGAACTAGCGTTCAGCAAAACAATGACCAATTTGTTAGTCGAAGACAATGTCCAGTGTTCCCCGGACTATAGTCAACAGTAAACACTGACGACAAGGCTAAATAAGTACTTTAATTTAGACAAACAACCTACATGTGTGATACGTAGGTGACTTCAAACAACTTGCTTGCATTGAAGCATGCAAAGTTCCTGCATGATAGATACCTGTACCTGTACGTAACTAGCTCCCCTAATCAGCTCATTTACATCGACATTCACTAGGTAAGGTCGGGGGTCAAAGTGATCACGCTCGCGTGCAGCCGCCAGGGAGTGATTGTTCCGTCGGCTACGTGATATTGTTTACAGTACTTGAAAAATAATGTATATTATAAAACAGGGAAATATAACAGGAAATGAGTTTGGAGATGCACCTCATTTAATTCGTGTCACCTGGTCTGTCTGTACTCGGGGTTTTGTTGTGAAAAAGGATAGGGAGACAACTCCTAAGATGTATGCGTCATATCACTTTCGACCAATAATACATGCATTCTACGTGTTAATGTGATCTTGTAGTAGTTAAGAGTACAAAACATGTATGGTACCGTATCGTGACGTATATGTGTATGGTAGAGTAAGCACATGTACATATAATTATCTGCCTAGAAGCTGTTACAGATTCATCACTCCAAGGAGGGTACGCAAACCTCATTCGCTATGACACATAACGCCTTCCGATATTTCAGTAGCATTATGAAGTCATGTCGTACATACAATTGAAATACCATTCCATTAAAGTACTGATTTATTTAGCTGTTTTACCTATTGCGTGAATGTATACAATACACAGCAATTACATTAAGATGATCTACAACAACAACACATCCCATAAGAACCAACAAACATGTTTTATTCTATTCTATGTGTTTTACAATGTATTGTACAAGTTACAATGTATAAAACATACAATAATATATACAATCGGGAAGGACATGATACATTTGAAAATCAATAAATATGTGACATTCTCAATGAAATAGCAAGATATAACTAAATTTCATCAGTAATTACACAGAATCCCTTGCTTTTTAGTTAGATTTACGCGTTTTACTGATCCTTGTAGAATTACAATACATTTGAGTGATATCATCACTAGTAAAACGACGAAGGAGGCATTAAACGATTAGGTATACCGGTATAAAAAGCCAAAACAAAAACAAATTACTACAGCAGTATCAGGCCCTGATGCCAAACTACATTGCAAGACTAAATAGTCAAGGGTTCAAAGAATAAAATCCAATGTCTGAAATGTTCCCAAACATATGTAGAAGTAATGGATAAGGCGAATGTTACCTATAAGATGTTTGATAATGTTAAAAATTTACAGAATTTTGATGTAACGTAAAAACGTGACTCTTAAGCCAAAATTTCGTGTAAATCGTGCGAAAATAAACCCCAACTGCAAGTTAGCAACCAACTGCGGGCTGTGATGGCCAGCGAGCAGGGTCACACATGGTTTGGCAGAAAGTCATGATACGAAATATAAAGAAGGAAGCATCTTCTTTAACAAATAGTATAATGAGTAATATAAAGCCTTCCAAAATGATTGAATAAGATAAATAAGTGTTTTTAAACGTATAAACTTTCACTATTCCAGCTGTAATCTAACGCGTTTTACAAGAGAATGGGATACACGTCAAGGTACGGAATGAAGGAACCATACATACCTTCGGTCTCATGAAAATTTTAACTGACCCCCCAAAATTCTGCAAACGTTTGTGCAAATCGTTCGCTAGACGGCATCCTTTCGCTTTAACATTTTGAACACGAATGTCAACAATACATTGGGAAAGCTTTATATCACATTTCATTAATAATCTTAATACAAAAGTTTGTCCAATTTGTATAGTTCTTTAATATAACACATAACTACTGAGTTGAAACATAATATCACTGATAGTATGGATTTACGTAAAATATAAAATGTTGGTAGGCGTCGTATTTCATCCAAAACAATCATATTCATCTTTGATGTCTGAGTAATAACTAGTGCAGATTTTAATGGTTTTCCGACTACTTTAAAGTAATTCACTCGGATAAAGTTTCCAGAAAACAATTTTATTATTTTGTTTTCACTTTGCCACATACTATGTATTAGAAAAAGAAGATCAGTGATATTTAATATTATTTACCATATCAAAACAATAACTTGAAGCACTTCGTTCAAAATTAATTACTGCTTTTTAAATCTAAACCTGTTTTTTTATAAATCCATATCTTCTGATAAGTTTGTATTGATTTTATTCAACATAAATAAAAACGCATTTGCATTACATCTTAATATAGTCTTTTAAACCAAATCCTTAAAAGATATTAACATGCATGATCCAATATACCTCATACGAGTGTATCAAAAAGATAAGATTGTACAATAAAACCATATTGAAAAAGAGCAAACATGACCTTCGAAAATTGTTAGCCAGTTGATTCATGATTATTAAACTTAATTTTCACCTAAGACAGCATGATGATGTCCACTCTGCTTAAACACTGCTTTACCCTTCTTAAATGTTAGTTTTGATTGCATGGAGTAATCATAAAACTTGCAAAAGCCTAACTGTTCCTAAAAATAGCTACATTAGAAATATGTTCATCGTTTTTATTTTAATAAAGAAGATTTTGATATATAAGAAATCAGTAGAAGACCACATATAAGTAAGTTAAACAGTTGTTTTAGTAGGTGTGTAAAGCAACTGATTAAAAGACAATATTTATCCGCGAAAACCAAGCCTAGTCAGCTTGCGCCATAAGCTTGAAAAAACTACAATGTCAAACGCCTTTCGAATGTCTGCAAAAAGCAATACAGCCTTTTCTACGCTGACAATGCTTTTGCTATGATCGTTTTTTTGTAATGTAAATAAAGCCCCTATCGCACTCGACCCTAGACAAAATCGCAATTGTGCATAAGTTAAATGTCCTTTTTTGTACATAGAGGTAAACAATTTACATAAAGTGCCCATCAGCCTGATACCTCAGGAATTACGTGGGTCATTACGTACGCTTTACTGTGAACAGGAATAATATCAGTGGATGATGAATTAGCAGGAAAAGGAGCAGCTACTAGACTACACTGTATGGGTAAGGTTCGGAGAACTAAATCTGAACATAAAACATTTTATAAATTGTAAGGTTAATGTGTGATTTCTAACTCGTGGAGTTATCTTACTATTCATATTCATTATCATCAATACAAATGCTGGCGTTTTCTAAATCGGTATTTTGGTAAACGTTTGACACATGTTTGAAATTTTCAAATAATAAGACGCATGTTAACGACAACCTATAATCCTTGCTTTACTTCGCAGACTTTTTATGAAAAAACCACTGAAAAAACATTGGAGTAGTTTTTAATGCATAAATATGACCCCTTAAACATATATTGGCCTTTCTCAGCATCAACGGTATGACAAACCAAAGGTTCTAAAAACTGCTTACTTAAACATGACAATTAGATAACGTCATATCCTCTGGACTCCATGGAAACAGGGATATTACTGAAGCTATTAACAGGAGGATTTGTTGTCAGTGGTCAGTAAGTCCGTAGATTATACTTTAAACAAACTCACAATATTGGATTCAAATCCATCAAGCCGTCATCACTCGTTGAGTGTGCATCAGTTAGTAGAGTATACCTTGATATTCTTTCGACAGTAAGGAATCGCGTAAGCCATATGTCCATGCATAACAGGTAAGACCCAAACATCATAAATACAACCATTGTTACAGGATTATGCTGGGCATCATAGGCTCAGTTAGAGCCTGTAAAGTTATCTACACGTTCTCAAATCTTTGTTTAATTCATCATTGATTACAACAGAGCTATGGTAACCTGTATACAGTTAATTCTGATTGATTCATGAACTTGGGTTATGATTCCCTTTGCAGCTTTTGCAGCGGTTTTTATGCAAAGAAAACAGCTGATCCATCCTAACTTTTTAATGAGTTTTGGAAAGAATAGTTTACAAGAAACAATGTAATGTCAGAACATTCTGTACACTTAAGTTTTAACAGTTCTCTAAGTTTGAACGCATTTAAAGGTTTAGAATAAAGCTGGATTTTCTTCATGTGATGAATACGTTTTCGATCGATGTGTTATTGGATAAAGG